TGCTTAGACAGCTGAGCTATCTCCCCAGCCTGCAAATACATTTGAAGCTCTGTGTGCCCCTTCCCAATTGTACTGCCTTCCTCACCATAAAGGTAAACGCCATCCCCCACTCTGTCTCATGCCCCTTTATCCATGGTTTCTATTTCCTGGGGTCAACATGGGCCCAAGAATATTACATAGAAAATCCCAGAAATAAACAGTGCATAAATTTAAAATTGCACGTAATCCTGAGTGGTGGGATTAAGTCTTGTGCCATCCTGCCCTGAACATGAATCATCCCTTTCTCCAGCAAATCCACACCAGTAGCTTCCTAGTCACCTAGCAGCACCCCTGGCATCAGGTCAACTGTGATATGAGTAATGCTTGAGTTCAAGCAATCCTGATTTCACTTCATAATGACCCCACAGCTCAAGTTAGTGATGCAGGAACTTTTATCACAACATATTGTTATAATTCTTCTATTTTGGGCCGGGCAGATGGCTCAGTGGAAAAAATGCTTCCCTAGCAAGCGCAAGGGCCTGAGTTCAATCCCCGGTTCCGCAAAAAACAAACAAACAAACAATCAAACAAAAAACAACTTCTATTTTATTTTATTATGTAGTGTACAATATTGGACCCAAATCCTTCACATTGAGCTGCATCTTCAGTCCTTTTTTTTTATTTTTGAGACAGAGTCTCAGTAAGTTGTTAAATTGTCCAGATTGGGTTTGAACTTGTGGTTCTCCTGCCTTGACACCCCAGAATGCAGGGATTACAGGTGTGCACCACCATGCCTATCTCATTTTACTTTATTATTACTTCTCTTTTCTTCCTCTTCCTTCCTTCTCCTACCCCCTCCCAATTTTAGGATTGAACTCAGGGACTTGTCAACCCCCTATTAGTCATTGCTGTTAACCTCTTACTGTGCCTGATTTATGGATTAAGTTTTATCATAAGTATATATGTAGAAAACAATAGTACACATAGGGCTTAGTACTGTCTGCGGTTTTGGCTTTCCCCTGGGGGCTTAGTATGCATCTTTAAGCAAGAAGGGGGACTACTGTACAGTTTAGGTAGAAAAAACTCTTGGACATGAGCCTCAGAAGAGAGGCCTTTGTACAGTGGTTTGCCTTATAAACACTGCACATGTTTGGGAATCTCTAATCAACACACTGTTTAGTTATGCATCATTTTTTTAAAAATTTATTTATTTATTTACAAAATCTCAAAACAAGATTTTAGGATAGTAACAATGGTTAGTACATTGTGTATTGTTACTGCCAAAGTAGTTTCTAGTTATGCATCATTTTGTAAGCTTTTTTTCCTCTTCCAACTTCAGGTTGTAAATTCATCCCTTTTGGTAATGGAAATTGATTCATTTTTATTGCCATGAAATGATGAAATCACCATTATTTATTCACTCACTTTCCTGTTGATGGACATTTGGATGGTTCTCTTGTCACCAAGGCTTTGAACACCTGTGAACCTCCTCTGAGGCTCATGTCCAAGAGTTTTCTCTATCCAGGACTGCAACTGTTGGTGGATAAGAGTAACATTTTTTTCATTCTTTTCCTGTTTTTGAGACATGGTCTTGCTATGTAGCCTAGGCTGCTCTCAAACTCACAGTAAGCCTTTTGCCTCAGCCTCTGAGTGTGGAGATTATAGGCATGGGTCACCATGCCTAGCTCTTCACTTTTGTTAGGGTGTGCTACTTAACCTCTGAGAATTTTGAGGCGTCACATCCTGGCTTTGCCAGACCCTGAGGATTAAGTGTCCTAGATGCTTAGAAGCCCCGACTGTAGGTTCCCTGTTACCCACCCTCGCAGAATAACCCATAGTGGGGCATCTTGGACTACCTGGGTTTTCTTGTTCTCGTATCAGTTGGTGGGAAGGATTAGTACAATTCTCCAAAACCTCATTGAGTACTAACCTTGCCAAGCATAGAGTTGAAGGGACATTGAGGTGAATAAGACATACTTTCTCTTCCCCAACACCCCACAAGATGCTCGAGGGACCAGGACATGAGCATAGATGCCAGCCTCCCTGCCCACATGCAATCGCTCCTTTCTCCTTCCTACTCACTACTCATCTTTGATGCTGTGGGAGACACACTGGAAAAGCTCCTGAGTTCCTCCACTGACATCCTGTCATCAGTTAAATGGCACCCCTGTCTATCTTTAGGGACCTTAAATTCCAGTGACCGGAAGCCAGGGTGCTGTGGCCCATCTTCCAACACACACAGCTCTCCCACAACCAAGAATTTTCAGGCCAAAACGTCAGTAATACTGAGATTGTGAAACTCTCAGTGACCTATGGTTACCTTCTTCCCTGCATCTCCTACCACCTCCTCAATTCCTGTTTCACCAGCGGCATCTATGCTCATCCAGGCTTTCAAACCAGGGAGTGGGGGTCACCAGCACGAGTGCATCAGCTCTGACCTGATGATGCAGCCTCCAAAGCTCTTCCCAACACCGGCTATGAACGTTCCTCCTGTTGCCCTTGCTCACACTCCCTTTCATTCATTTGTGGACTATTACAAAAGAGCTCTAAAGTGTGTGAGTGTGTGTGTGTGTGTGTGTGTGTGTGTGTGTGTGTGTGTGTACCAACTTGTGTGTCTTTATTGTCAAACTGGAAATGTCTTTCTTGGGATATAGTTTTTTTTTTATGAGCAGAATATATTTATTGAGAGAAAGAAAGCTCCTGTCCAAGAGAGGGACAGGAGGGGGCCTGAGTGGGTAGTTCCTCCAGGATATAGTTTTTCTTTTGGCAGAACTGGGGATTGAACTCAGGCCCTTGCGCTTGCCAAGCAAGTACTTACTCTACTGAGCTATTGCCTCAGCCCCAGGAAATGTTTTTCTTGAGGTCAGGAACTGAGCCTTTACCATCTCTGTGTCATTGACTGTCAAAGTTACTTGCTGATTGCAGTGGGTAGAATTAAAAAGTTGTGTTTAATTCATAACCTATAATTATGACTTTTTTTGGAATAGGGTATTTTCAGGTGTAATCAAGTTAAAACAATACATACTGAATTAGGGTGGGCTCTAATCTAATCTACTGTCCTTATAAGAAGAGGGAAACTTGGACAGAGACAGACAATGACATGTGAGGATGGATACAAAGACTGGAGCAATACATTTGCGAGTCACAGACCTTTAAGAATTGTGAGCACTCACCAGAAGCCAGGAAGAAGCAAAGGTTCTCTTCTACAGCCTTCCTTCCATAGGAATATTTCTCTACAGATACCATGACCTCATACTTCTAGCCTCCAGAGCTGTGAGAGAATAAATTGCTATTGTTTAAAGCCATGAATCCGTGGCACTTAGTTATAGTGGTCTTAGAAAACTCATGCACTGACCCAGCATCAAACACATCAAGTGTCCAGTACATATATGATGCCTGCCCTCAAACAACTTTTTGGATACTTATTTCTAGAGTAATTTTTTTTTGTTTACTATTATTTTTACTTCTAAGCTGTTTGCTACTGGCGAATGAACCTTTAGCCTTGGTTCTTGGAGGCTAGACAAATGCTCTACCTATAGTGGCACTCCCAGCCCTTTCATACTTAATTTTTTGTGGCACTGGGGATTGAGCCCAGAATCTTTGTACTGAGCTATATCCTTAGCGCTCCCTTCCAATGTTTGAAACAGGGTCTCCCTTCTTTGATGCAGTGTGGGGGTTTGGGCTCAAACTTGAGGTCCTCCTGCCTCAGCTTTCCAGAATGCTATGATTATAGATGTGTGTCACCATGCCGGTAGGGCTTGGAGCTTTTAGACACCTGCTTGTCCCCTGGCTTCATGAAGTGTTCCTACCATGGCCAGGCTTCACATGACCAGGAGCATTTTTCTTTCTGTTGAGACGCCACCACTTATGAAGCAGTCCAGGGCCCCTGTCTGTTGCCTGTCCTTCTTTCTCCTTCCCTTTAAAGGCTTAGAGTCCTGCCTTGGTCTCTGCCCAGGTCTCTGCTCAGGGTCTTGTCATCCTCCACACTGCTCACTCCAGCTTCACAAGCAGGGAACTCACTTGATTCTCACAGCCTGGAAGGTGGCAGAGCAAGGTGTCATTAGTCCCACTTCACAGGTGGGGAAGCTGAGGCCACGTTCCTCAATCACAGCACTCAGAAAAGGCAGAATGGAGCTCAGAGCCACGCCTCCAAGATCCCAGCTGAGCACCCATCCCCTGTGCCTCACCCCTCACCTCCTCTGATAAGAAGGCAGGCTCTGGGAAGAGCAGAGCGCTAGTCGACTGACTGTGGCAGGTCAGGGCTCAGCAGTGAGCCCTTCACAGGGTGCTTGGGAGCTGCCGGGCTCTGTGGAGACCACCGGTCTTGGGATAGCCCCAAGAGAGGTTAGGGCTGGCGGTCGGTCGGCAGAGCCCAGGAGAGTCCTATCTCCATCTCGTCCAGCGCTGGCTGCTGGCCCTGTGCCCACTCCCTCTCCAGGCTGGAACTACTGCGGCAGCCACTGGCAGCACGGGTGACCATCAGGGAAGATAAGATTCCAAGAGCACGTGCGCCTGACCCTCCTTCCCCGCGCACCTAGGGGCTCGCAGGGGCTCCCTGAGCTCGCTCTCCCAGGAGCCAGGTGGTACCTGAGCCGCTTCAGATCGCTCCAGACCTCCCGTCCCAGTTATTTATACCCATTCTTGTAGAGAGCAAAGCCGAGCCTCTGCTTTGCAGAGAGCTACAGGCTGGCGTCTATGGTGCATCTGGGGTTCAGTGGGCTGTGGGTGCGCCCGTATTTGTGGACATGAGTTTATGTGTCCTTTTGGGAAGGGCTGGCTTTCTACGGGGTGGGATTTGTGTGCAGGCCGAGGAGCTGCCCAAGCTTTAGAGCCCAGATGGCGGGACCGTTGTAACTTTTCTGCTCGGCTGCCTGCTCTTGGGTTTCGCCCCGCTAAGTCCATTTCCAGGCAGGGAGCTCAGTCTGACCCCGATCGTCGGGTCCCCGCCCTCCGCCCCACTCCCTGGCACTCGGGCAGCGACCCTGCGCGGCAAGGCGGCCCGGCGCCAAGCTGGTCCGACTGGTTCTGGGTAGGAAGCCTCCCGCCCTCGCCCGGGGCCGCCGACCAGCCCAGCGCCAGTCCGGGCGTCCGTCGGTGCTGCCCGCGGCCTGTGCGACCGTCCCCGCAGCGATCGTGACCTGCGGCCGGTCGGCCCGGCCCGGGCGGAGATCAATGCGGCTTTGTCTGGGACGCCCACACCCCAGAGGCCACTCCCGGGTCGGCAAATCGCAGCGCAGCAGCTCGGGGCGCGCAGGGTGAGATAAGCGGCCATGTGACCCTACCTGGGCGGGGGAGGGGCGCAGGTGAGGCGGCGGCGGCGGCGCAGCAGGACGCACGCGGCGACCGCGGCTACAGCGATGTCCGGCGGCAGGAAGGACTGGTCGGCGCTGTCCAGGTGAGCGGTCCGCGGTGGCTGGGGTCCGCGGCGTATTCTCGGTTTCCTCTTCCGGGACATCAGCTTCTCCGGTCCTGGGATCTTGGCTCTATGGGATCCTAGTCTTGCTACTTCACAGAGGGGGAGCAAGGGGGGGTCGAACGCGGGACCCTTCCGGTGATCAGGCAGATACTGTTGCACCTTCACAGTTTCCTGACCTCCCCTCGGGCCTGTAGTCCCAAATTAGGCGTGTTAACAAGGCTTGGACCTATGGTGTGATCCGTGTGCGTGTGTTCATGTGTGTGTGTGTAGTTTTGGGAATTTGGCAGAATTCAGCCTTATTTCTGAGACAAGCCTTTCGCCCTGCTCCACGTCTCTGGTAGAGTTGTAGAGTGAACTTCGGAGAAGTGTTGCCCAGGCCCTCTTGGGACAGAGAATAAGGACAGTGACGTCTATGGGATCAGCTGAACAGGATCTGTGAATAGCACCAGAACCCTCCCCACCCACCACCCTGCTGTCCCCTGGCAAAAAGTAAGGGAGGCTCAAATTCTAAGTATGACATCTTGGGGTGGCATTGGGGCTGACCTCTAGAGAGCTGCGGACTCCTTTATGTTCTGATCTTTATTTGAGAACCGGTCCTCCAGAGGGTCAGGGGACCGGACCTCATCCCTGCCTGCTGGGTGCCATGTCAGTGTCTGAGGAGTGGGGAAGGGCTAGTGTTCCTCAGGCAGTGCCCAGGTGGTTGGTGCCTCCTCTCGGGGCTGCCTCTCCTCTCTCCAGAGCTACTGAAATGATCTCTACCTCTCATCCTTCCAAAAGGAAGCAGTCCCTGCCCCTCAACCTATACATACCTTGTCCTGGATGAAACTGAGGCCCATGCAGTAGCCCTAATTCTTTGACCTTTTGGTTCCTCCCAGGTGGGTGTCATCAGGTCTTTCGAGAGATCAGGGCAGTTTCTGCAGGTGCAGCCCAGGATTCTCCCATCAGTGTGGGCCCCACAGGCCTTCCCCATCAAGGCAGCTTTTGCAAATTTTCTATCACGTAAGATCTCCTCCTGTCCTGTCCCACCCTTGACCCTGAAGAATTCTAGAGCTTCTCCTGAACTGCAGGTCACCTCCCCAGACTCTCAGGACCTCATGCTGCTCTGAAGCACAGTCACCCAATAACACCAAGTGCAGGGTTCATTGGGGTCTAGAGAGGGGGAGAAAGGTAATCCCTGAGGGTAGAAGGAACACAGCACTCTGGAAAAGGAACCCAGGCTGCCGTCCAGGTGGGACACACCCCAGGCAAGGTCGGTGCTGAGGGTGGGGCTGGAGGTCAGGGCCGTGGACTCTGCATGTGGGTCAGTGTCCATGGTGGTTGATGTGGCAGTGCTTCTAGGTGTGGGCAGATCTGTGCTTCTGAGTGCATGTTCAGATATGTGTGTGTGGCCGGCTATGTGGGCGAGTGTGTTTGTGGCCGATGTAGTGATGAGATGTTTGTGTGGGCAGCAGGTTCTTGTGGTGCTGAGTTTGGAGCTTGCAAGTCTGAGTATGTTTAGTTTGAATGTTTATTGAAGACTTCAGTATTATGAATGGGGTTAAAAGTACAAACCAGACATTACTTTCTCAGAAGCTCACATTCTGGTGGTGATTTTGTGTCTGAGAGTGTTCATAGATGTGTATGAAGGGGTGTGTGTGTGTGTGTGTGTGTGTGTGGCAGGTGAGGCACTGGGACTTTAACACAGGAATGGGGTCCAGTCTTTTTGCTTGGCCACTGCTGAGATGGACATGGACTCATGTGGCTGCAGAAGCAGGGCCCAGTTCCCATGGGATGTCCAGGCTAAGCAGCCGGAAGCCTGGGGAACCAGTCCTGCCACGGAGCCCCTGCCCACCCTCCCCCGAGCCCTGTGGGCAGACACAGCTGCTGCCAACAGTCACCCTGAGGAGGCACCTGGAATAGAGGACCGCTCCCGCTCTGATCCCTGACTGAACAACAAGCCTCAGCGAGCCGGCAGGAAAGGGCTGTGAGTCACTGTCAACCGAGGCTCTGAGGCTGCAGAGGGTGTGAGCAGTGTGGCCCCAGCCAGCGCCCAGGTGGGGAGGTGGGAGGGGTGCTGAGGCCAGCCTGCAGCTCGCTTGGGCAGTAAGCTTCCGATGCTCCAGCCCTGGGATGGGGGCTGTGGTGAGCAGGCTGGCTGGCTGCTCTAGTCAGCAGCCTTGTCCTTTCCTCCCTGGGCTGACCTGGTGACCTGTGAGGGTGAGGCTAGGCCAGGCCTGTCTGCAGGGGGTGAGGGGCGGGTCTGAGGGTGCCTGGACAGAACAGCCCCTGGTTAATCATTTTCCTGCCTGGGCCTTGAGCAGCCCTCCCACCTCCAAGCACTTCCCTGGGCTCTCCTGACACTTCCCCTAGACCAGCTGGGCCTGAAGGGACCTCAGACCACAGGGAGCCTCAGCAAGTGGAAGGGGAGCCTAAGGCCTGCTCAGGGCCTGAAGGTTGGCCCAAGGTCATGGACTCCTAGTCTGTTCTCTCCTTCCTAACTCTTGTCCCTTGGGTCCACAAAATGCTTCTGGGGCAGCTCTCCCATCCTCTCCCGACTTTAACCAGAGCATCTGAGCCTTGTGATGCTGTATGTGATTCAGCTTGGGAACATAGGTTCTATTGCTGAACAAAACACCTAGCAAGCAATGCACTTAGACTTGTGCAGTAGAATAGACTGAATTTAGACATCAGGAAGGCCCTGTGCCCCCACCTCAGAGGTCAAAACACATTTTCCAGTGAGCAGCAGGGCAGGATGGCTTTCAAATTAAGAGAAAGAGGATGAGGACTCTGTCCCCAAAGGCTAGAGTTGGTACAGTCAGGAATGGGGAAGGAGAGCAGCCCTATAGGGAGACAGGAGAGGCCTGGGATTCCCCAGATGCAGGCCAGGAAGTACAGTGCAGGGTTCTGGAGAGGGAAGGAGGGCTGGGGATCTTCCCAGGGCAGTGGCATCAGCTGATGGGAATGACTGGGATCCCTAGCTGTTGAGGCCTGCAGGTTCCACCTAGGGCCTGGCTCTGGGGCTTGGGGTCATTTGGTTCCCTCAAACCTTTCTCTCTGAGTGCCGGAGCTCTGGCTTGTCCTGGGGTGGAGAATCCTGGGCCATCAGAAGATCTCCCAGGGCTCCTTGTTCCTTTACTATGTGCTTGGCTGTTGGCCTCCGAAGGTGGTGCTGCCTCTTGGTTAGAACCAGTGGCCCTGACCCTTCTGTTCTTTACTGGCAGTTGGTATCATAATTAAAGGCATGATGTTTGAGAGGCCAACTTAGGTTGGAATCTTGGTTCCTAATTTTTTTGTATTAACTGTGCTGTCTTTGTAAAGTTATTCACCCCTCCGTACCATTCTTTTCTGTGTGCAAATTGGAGATAGCACCACCTCATCACACAGGATTGTAAGGATTAATGTCCAGGAACTGTGAAATCTTACAGCAGTGCCTGGCATTCTTAGTGTTCTCATCTCCTCCTCTATTCTCTGTTCACATATTCAACCAATGTGAAGTCCTGCTCTAAGCCTTGTCATGTATTTATTATTAGGGTTACAGCAAATGTCCCTGCTCAGGTTCTGCCTGGGGACTGACCTTTGTCTTTTGATCCTATTCCTGTCTATTTCCTCATCTTTAAAGGCCAATAATCTTTGCTTATTGGTTATAACATTCCTCCTCAGGGTGGTAATGTGGGTATTGTATTCTGTGATTCTCGAGCAGCAGGGGTAGTGACCATGCCATGGGTGAGAGGTGGGGTCTTCAAGTAAAGCTTGAGGCTACTGGTGGACTGCTGGGGCCCACCTCCTATAGCAGCCGTGGAGACCCCCCGGCCCAGCCGGGGAGTGAGTCACTTCTGAGAAGACCAGGCTCAGGCAGATCACACGTCATATATGGCTGTACAGAAGGATAAACAAATATGTAGTTTCCCCGAGGGCTGAGAGTGGCGTGTGGGAACCAGGTCGCTCAGGACCAAAGAATCCTGGAGGCAGTAGCCCAGCCTTGCTATGGGTGTGGTGGTGGTGGTGGTAGGACGAGCTTGGGTTTTGGAGGGTCAATTTCTGCAGCATATGTGTCCCTTTTTGGAGGGTAAGTGCTGTTCCTAAACTAGGAACCAGGGCAAGGGTACATCTAGAGCGCTGATGAGGTGACTTCAGAATAAAAGCAGAAGAGCTGACAGGAAGCCTGAATAAGAGAAGTTAGAGAGAGGTGGCTGTCAGCCTGGCTCATAAGCGCAGGTTGCTGAAGAGAACATGAATGAGCGAATCTGCAGATATGTGGAGCTCACTGGGCTCATATTACTTATATGAGCCCAGGGGAATATTACTTAAGTTCTGTGGTCAAGGCCAACAGGAGAAAACTTTGGCGGGGCCCCTTCTCTGTTGCCATCCAGGTAGAGTAGAGGTGTGGCTGATGGGAATGAGGCTGTCACCACGAGAAGTTGTTCTGAAGGCAGAGCAGGAGGATTTGGAAGCACTTTTCCAAGGCAGCTCCTTCCCTGTGGGCTGATGTGTAGGTGCCCTCCCTATGCTGGTTATCTTTTGGGGCCCAGGCTGTGCTCCCCACTTTATGCTTTTCTGGATCAAGGAATAGGCTTGGAGATTCCTAGGGAGGAGGAGGAGGAGGAAGAGGAGGAGAAGTAGCAGTAGGAGAATGCAGTAGCTTGGAGTGCTGAAAGCTGACATTCACGCTTGTCACCTGCTGTGTGCAGACCACCATGCTGGGTACTAGGACTCTCCTGGGCCCTCTGCTCTGCCCTTGTTCCCTACCTAGCTTGCCTGCAAGCTTCTCTCTGCCCTGGCTTGCCCTTGTCTGCTGAATGCCCAGCTCCTCATGCCAGGGCTCTGCTCTTGCAGTGCCCTCCTCCTGGCTTCTCCTTGTAGACTGAGTCTCACAGAGGCCTCTCCAGCAGTTCTCTCTCACATCACTACCTGGGCCTGTTGTTCTTGAGACACTTAGCTGATGTCCTTCTGTTCATGGGCTTGTGTCCTTGCTCACTGTGTGACTCCTATCATGCACTAACGTTATGAAGGGAAGGACTCCGTGGGTCTCATTCCCGACTGTATTCCAGCTCTGGAATTGTGCCTGGTAAGTAGGTGCAAACAAGTATTTGTTACATGAATATTGGCACTGCAGATGTGATGCTGGACCTGGAGAGACCAGGCCCACCATGCAGCTCCTCTTCCTTTCAGGAGAGAATAACTTGTCTAGGGAAGGAGGGCCAGAAACCAGGCCAATGACTCCACCTTCATGAGGTGTCTGAGGAGGCTTTGAAGATGCAACTCAGTGTATAGAACTAGTGAGTTTGCATGATTTTTGTTTTTTTTCAGAAATATGTCTCTGCTTTAAACCAAGGCTTGTTCTCCAGGAAGGGAAAGGCTGGGAAGGCAAGGGGGAGAGCAAAGAGCTAGGACCTGACAGGGCTGCGGGGAGGCCATAGGTCTGGGAGTGGGGAGTTGAAGGCCTTTTTCCTGAATCTTCTGACTTGGGCATCAGAAGGCACAGGGAGCCCCAGGGCAGTGCCCCTCGCAGCCTGCTGCTGCGCTATTTGAGTGAGGCTGCCTTTCTGGGTAAAGTGCAACATCGCACCCCCTACAAGCCCTGCACATTTGATCTCATCAGCTTGCTCCATCTCTCCCTTCTGCCCAAGCTGCTGATTTCTCCCCAGCCCCTATCACCTTCCTTGAAATCCTGTTCATTCAGTGAGATCCTGGCCTGCTTCCCTCTCTTCTGTGAACTTTTCCTGCTAAGATCGGCCCATAGTCGTCATTCTCTCACTCTGCTGAGCAGTTTCTGCACTTGGTTATGACAGTTGGTAGTGGGCATGATTCTAGAACATTCGATTGTGGGTGTCTTCAGGGCAGGGGCCTTGCCATGTTGTTCTGTGAGCTTCACAGAACACAGTTACTTAGCTGGTATTTATTTGCTCTTTTTTTTTTTTAACAAGTATTTATGTGTGTGTGTGGCTAGCTCAGCCCACCAGGGGGCGGGGCTGGCTGGCATGTGGTGCTGGGGGATTGAACCGCAGACCCTGTGCTTTGCTAAGCTTGTTCTAAGTAGGTGCTTTAGACCACTGAGCCATCTCACCAGCCCCCTATTTGCTCTTTGGTTGGGTAAAGGGTGAACAGATAGGAGAAAAGATGGGCTGGTGGAGAGGTGGGTAGGTGACATTAGGACAGGTGGGTAAGGAGGGTGGAAGTGACCTGGTGCCTGGAAGGTGGGTGTTTGGATTGACACATGGCTGGATGGGCAGATATATAAATGGAGAGTACATGGGGGTTGGCTGGTTGGCTGCTGGCTGTGAGAGGCCCTGGCTGGTCACATAAGTGAAAGGTAACTGGAGATAGAAACAAGAGTTTGTGGGGTCCCCTTTTTCCCCTGAACAAGTTATAAAAGGTGATGAGGGTGAAAGAGTCCCTGGGCAGTGAAGGTGTACTGAGGTCTTTGCCCGGTGTAACTGGTCTATTTATGAGTGTTACCCCCCCCCCCCACCAAAGGCCAAGAAACTTCTTAGGGAATTAGCTGAGGAAATTCCTGTGTGATTGTACATTGAGGGAGACTGCCTAAGAAAGAGAATGGACCTTGTCAAGTTTATCGGCTTCCTCTAGGCAGAGCAAATCCCACCTTTCTTCATCCATAGCTACCCCAGAAAGGGTAGCCCCACCCCATCCCCCCACCCCCGCAACTCTTCCCTGCAGTCTAAAATAGAGTCCAACATGGTGGTTTTCATCTGGGGTGATTTGGGCCACCAGAGGATATTTGGTAATAATGGGAAGTACTTGGGGTTGTCACCACTGAGGGGCATTGCTAAACCTCCTCTATCCAGCCCTCCAAATGGAATTATCTGGCTAAAATGTCAGTGGTGCTGAGAGAGAAACCCCAGTCTCTCAAATTCCAACACATTTCATAGAAATTTAATGGTCCTTGGTCTTCATCACCTTCCTTTGCTGAGACACGGGATTAGATGCCCACCACTTAAAAGGGCTTATGGTTTTAGGTGTTTCAGTCCATGGCTGGCAAACTCTAGAGCCTGGGTGCTCACCTCATGGCCACCAGGAAACAGAGAAGGAAGAGCTGGGGAGGGAGATGAGCTTCTGGGTCCAGGCCACAGTGACCTATCTCCTAACCGCACACTCAATTCAGCTGCTAAATTCTTTACTGTGTGAATCTATCCACAGATGGACATAGTGCCCCATGATCCAACCACGTTCCACACACATGAGTTTGGGGGGACATTTTAGATGCAAGCCATAACACTCTGTGGTGTGAACTATGGGAATAGCTCAGTGGGACAGCATCTGCCTGGCAAGTGTGAGGTCATGAGTTCAATTCCCAACACAACAAAAAAGAGTTGTTTAGTAATCGCATTAAAGCAAAGGGATGGAGTTGGGGAGATAGCTCAGCAGTGTCAGCACCTGCCTAGCAAGCACGAGGACCCGAGTTTGATCCCCAAAATCAGGCATGGTGGTCCACACCTATAATCCCAGCACTGGGGAGGTTGAAATAGGATCACTACCAGTCTGAATTGCATAGTGAGACCTCATACTAAATAAATAAGACTTTAAAATAGTAAAGAAAAAAGCAAAGGGAAAGAGATAAAATAATTTTAATAGTATATTTCATTTATCCCAATAGATCCAAATATGATCATTTTGACATGTAATCAATACACATCATTTTTTTAGGTGAAGGTCTTACTATGTTGTCCAGACTGGCATTAAAGTCCTGGGCTCAGGTAATCGTCCTGCCTCAGCCTCTTAAGCTGCTGGGGTGCAGGTGCCTGCCACCGTGCTCAGCTGCACAACTCTGAATAGCAGGTTCTACACTTTGCCTTTCATCCTGAGTCTTGGAAGTACAATGTGTATTTTACAGCACGTCTTGGTTCTGAGTGTTGCCAGTGCTGTGTGGCCATCGGTAGCCCGGGCAGCCTGGAGAATGCTTTGTCTGCCTTGGGGAAGGGTACTCGGTTGTCCAGGGGCTGTGTGACCCTCGCCTTGTTTCCCCAGCCTGGCCCGGCAGCGGACTCTGGAGGATGAGGAGGAACAGGAGCGGGAGCGCAGGCGACGACACCGCCACCTGAGCTCTACCACGGACGATGAGGCTCCCAGGCTCACCCAGAATGGAGACCGGCGGGCTGCTGAGAGGTACTTGGCTTGGTGCTGGCTGGGCATCATGGTCACATCCTAGGTAACAGGGACTGATTTAGCTGCCCTGGGTTGACTGCATAAAATGTGCTTGGCCTCCCAGAGACTGAAGGCCCAGGGAGTGAGGCTGAAGGGTGTGAATGTGAGCTTTGGGCTCCTCACCTTCCTCTGCAGCCCACCAGGGACCATGCTCAGCCTAACGGGTTGAGACCACTCTGGAGCCCATCCTTCGCTGGACGTTTTATGAACGTAGCTCACTTAATCCTTATGTATTCCATTGTTTTGCAGTGGGAGCACTGGGGAGGAAGACTTTGGTGACTCGAAGGGGCTGTATACCTAAGAGTAGGGAGGCCAGAATTTCCATCCAGATTGTCAAGTTCTGAGGCTCAACTCTGACCCTTCGGCCCCAACCCTCCATAATTCCCACCTGAGTGGAGGAACCTAGGGATTACATTTTACATTTTGGGATTAGGAGATGAAGGAAGAGAAGAGCCTGGAACATAGTGGCTGCTACTTCTGCACCCGGACAGTGCTGCCTACTCTCATGTCATTCCACCTCCCAATAAGGCCAGCTTGCGGATTTGAAAACTGAGCCTCAGATAATGAGTTAATTGGCCTGAACTCAGATGGAGAACAGGGTGAAGGGAGAGAAGACTCCTTTTGCTGGAGATGAAGTGCTGAGGGCTTCAGGCAATTCTTTTGTGGTGGTGTTGTTCCTTTGTGTCCCCCAGAGAAGGAGACCGGGGTGTATACCCTGAGCTCACCTAAACCTGTGGCTACCACCTAGTCCCAGGCCTACCCAGATGACATAGGTGTGTGGGATGATGCCCAAGAAGCTTTGGGTTCTACTTCCGGCTTCCTGCCATTAGCTGTGTGACCTTTGACAGGTCCTGAACACCTCTGATCTCATTCTAAGCTCTAAGGGGGCTGCATTTGCTCCTTTTGACCACTGATGCCCAGCACATGACCTGACACATGCTTGTTGACTGTGTCTGATCACGGAGCGGTTGGACTTATAAGGGCTGTAAACATTTTAAGAAGTGTTGGGCTGGTGAGATGGCTCAGTGGTCTAAAGCACCTACTTAGAACAAGTTTAGCAAAGCACAGGGACTGCAGTTCAATCCCCCAGCACCACATGCCAGCCAGCCCCGCCCCCTGGTGGGCTGAGCTGGCCACACACACACACACACACACACACACACACACATAAATGTGTAAAATTTAAAAAAAAAAAAAAAAAAAAAGAAGTGTCGAATACTGTGTTCAAATGAAGCCCAAAATAGGGCTGGTCTGATAGCTCAGTGGACTAAAGCTCTACTTTCCTGGACCCCTCCTTGGTGGCCCTGGTGGCTTCTCTATCAGGTCAAGTTCCCACAGGTTCCCTCCTAGCTCGGATATCCTTTGATGTCATCTCTTGTCTTCTGCCTCAGGCTGCCCAGTGTGGAGGAAGCAGAGGTACCCAAGCCACACCCCCCAGCCCCCAAAGATGAGGAGGAAGACATCCAGGCTATCCTCAGGACACGGCAGGAGCGGAGGCAGAGGCGGAAGGCCATTGAAGCTGCCCCCATGCAGGAAAGGCTGGAGGCAGAGGACGGAGGGGGCGGCTCCAGTCCCGAACAGGCCCCGCAGCAGCTCCCAGCACCCAAGAAGGAACCGGAGGCCCTGCCTCGCCGGAGACTGAGCCGAGAGCAGCGGGGCCCCTGGGCCCAGGAGGAGGAGCGCTTGGTGAACAAGGAGCCAAGAGTGGGGAGGAAGGGGCTTCCAGAAGAGGCCCCGGCTGTAGAGAAGACCTTGGTCTTGGAGAAGTCCTCTGCACCAGAGAAGACACCCACAAAGAGACTGGCCTCAGAGAAAGCCTGCTTTTCTGAGAAGGAGCTGACCCTGGAAAGGACAGCTGTGTCCCAGAAGACAGCAGTGCTGGAGAAGAAAGGCGGCCCAGAGAAGTCTGCTCCAGGAAACTCCAGTGTCTTTGAGAAATCACCAGCCCCTGAGAAAGCATCTGTGTCTGAGAAGACAGCAGTGTCAGAGGAAAGGTCCACACTGGACAAGAAAATAGCTCTAGGGAAAGGCAGTGTTGCTGAGAAGCTGCCAGAGAAAGCATCTTCTCGGGTGTCTGAGAAAGCATCCTTCTTTGAGAAGTCCTTGGCCACAGAGACAAAGCAGTCCCCCAAGAAGGTGGCAGCATCTGAGCAGCCCCAGGGCTCTGGGGGAGGCCAGGCCAGCACCCCGGAGTCAGGAGAAAGGCCTTTCTCTAGGAAAAGCCCGACTTCCTCAGCAGTGGAGCACAGGGTGCCAGGCTCTCCAGCTGTGGCTTCACGCTTCCCACCCATCACACTCCAGGTTGGCGGTGCCCACGTCTCTCCTGTCCTTCTCCTCCCTGACAAGGCCTGCCCTTGTGGCCTCTGCTCCTTGCTGCCTCCTATCCTTGCACCTGCAGGCTGGCTGTGATAGCTATTGTCAGAACAGGGCAGGGAGGCAGAGGCAGGCTGCTGGAGCCGAAAGTGCCAATAGCCATGTAGCAGGGAGCAAAGGGAAGCCAACACCACACTCATCCATCCCAGCAGGAAGCCTCAGGTCCTCCTGGAGGCTCTCCTAGAAAGCTCTTCCTGGGAGCATGGCCCTTGGGACTGTGCTGGCTGCCCCAGAGCAGAGGCAGGAGGACCATCTCAGTAAGAGGGCCATCTCACTGTCCCTTACTCCCAGAGCCCCTGGGATGAGCCCGCCACATGGTATGCCCATGACAGCTGGAGCTTAGGGGCTGCCTGGGCCTGGTAGGGCCCTACACCACTGCCAAGGAAAATGAGTTCTAGACTGATTGTGTGACACTTCCATTGCTCCATTCAGGTGAAAATCCCCAGCAAGGAGGAGGAGGAGGCAGACACATCTTCACCTACCCAGGTCACCTATAGCACCTCTCTCAAACGCTCCAGCCCAAGGACCATTTCCTTTCGGGTGAGAGTCCAGGGTACCTTTGTCACCTATCCACTGGTGGGCAAACCAAGGAAAGCAGCTTCCATTACAGCATGGTAGCCCTGAGTTAGAGAGCCAGAAGTTCCTCTGAATAGAGAGGGGCTTTGGATTCCTACGGTAAGCGGTCGACATCCTGTGTCAATAAGCATGAGCAGCGCCACCTAGTGGGAAAGTTCAGAACTGCAGGAATATGGTATCCATCCCCAGCCCAGCTCTCTGCTCTCATTCTACCCTTACCAGGAGGGAGGCTCTCCCTAGAACCAGAGGCATTAGGGGTCTCCTGGGTCTCCTAATGCTCTCTGCTCTGCCCCTTCCCAGTTGTGTGTCTAGGCAAGTTTCATCTAGCCTTGTCCCAATATGTATTCTTTGTTCATTTGTGTACTGGGTCAGGACACTCTCTGTGCATTGTGGCCTCGTGCATGCCAGGCCCTGGGGAGGAAGCTGGAGGCCCAAGGTTGATCCGTGCTGTCAGGGCTCTTGAGCAGGTAGGCAGATAGGTGATCCAGGAAGAGGAAGTATTCCAAGAGCAGGGTCTGTCCCTTGAGGGAGGGGAGGGCCACAGATCTCCCAGGGACTCCCACTCACCAGCAGCCCCCCTTCTCATTTCAGATGAGCCCCAGGAAAGACAACTCAGAGACCACCTTAACCCGCAGGTGGGGGCAGCCTGGAGGCTTCGACTCTCTCCTGTCCTGTGTTTTCTGAATACCTGCCCCTTCTCTGTGTGTCAGGCTGTATTGCAGGGTATTCAGAGGATGGGGATATAGTTCCCCTGGCCTCCAGATCTGGTGGGCAGGAGTGGGGATTAATGGAGGGATTTAGGGCCTGCAAGGTAGATGGTGGGAAGGTATCAGAGAGCTGCTTGGAGGAGGTAGTGCTTAGGTGGGGCTCTGAAGGGGAGGAGCCTTTAGACTGGGAAGGAGGGGGAGAAGGGCTTTGCAGGAGGGAGGCTCTGAACAGTGCAAGGAAGGGGAAGCCTGTTTTGGCAGGCCTGAGTTGGGGGTCTGGGCCTGTGCATACTTAACAGGTACCTCCATGACCTGTAATGTGGACACAGGTATTCTGAGGGCTGCACTGAAAAGAAAACTGCAGTAGGGCATGAAAAGCAGCTGTGCTAGTGTTAGGAATTTCATTCACTTGAGCTGCACCCAGCTGCCCTCTCAGTGCAGACTGAGGCCTTGTATGCTAGGAAAGGCCTGGGGCTTGGGGAAAGAGGACAGGGAGGAACAAAGATAAGACACAGTGAGCCCCTCCCACAACCCATTGAAGGCCACTAAACACACAAGAGGCTGCCAGGCGGGGTGGAGGTGGGGTGGGGGGGGTACAGGACGGGAGGGCAGTTAGGAGCTACAGTGAGTTGGGGAGGTACGACCAGGCCAATGATGTTCCATGTGGCACTTCACCCGTGAGATGTCCAGGTGGAAAACTAGAGGAGTAGCATTTAACTGTTGTATTTTTGGTGGTTTTGGGGATTGAACACAAGGCCTTTGCATTGAGCTACATCCCCAATCCTTTACAAAGATATTTTGAGACAGGGTCTCATTAAATACACAGGGCTTTAACTTTCTATCCTCCTGCCTTAGCTTCCTGAATGCTGGGATTAAAGGCATGCTCCACAATGCCTGGATAGGAATGGCACTTTAAATAAAGGGAGCAGCATGTGGGAAGGCACGGTGTGGAAAGCATTAGGTGCCCGCTGGCTGGCACGCTGGCATGTGGCAGTGAGGGCACGTTGAGATGGAGGCGGGGGCAGATTCCCAGAGCTTTGTGTGCTGGTACACCAGGGAGTTCACTCCCTGTCCTTTGGCTTCTGGGGTCTGGGCTGAAAGGACAGGAATGGATCTGTTTGAGGTAGGGATATGACTTGGTAGCCCTGGGAGGATGGCAGGGAAGGTGGCCAAGGGGAAAATCTTTGGGAAGGGCTGGTCTCCGAAGATGGTGTTGGTGGAAGAGACAAGTGACAGGAAGTGGGAGATGAAGAGAGGGAGACAGAGCTGTAGAGGATCCTGGGGTATCCTGCTGAATGGGCTGCTTCTGGAGAAGTGAGGACAGCCGCTAGGGTGTGTAATCTTGCCCTTGGCCAAGTCAAGGCCATGTGCACTTGGCCAGAGTGGCAGGATGTGAGAAGAACACTTCTCAGACCTGGGGACAGGCATGGCCACCTCGAGGTGGGGGTCTCATCTGGTTTGTCTTGTCTAGTGCCAGTGTGAGGCTGCCGGCCAGCACAGTCAAGCTGGGAGAGAAGTTGGAGAGATATCACACGGCTATCCAGGTGGGCTGTGGGGATGATCTAGGGTGTGTGGAGGTCCCTGACCAGAGCAGTGGGAGTAGCTTAGTGGCTTGTGTTTCTGTCCCTAGAGATCAGAATCCGTCAGGTCCCAGGGCTCCTCCCGTACTGAGCTCTTCGTGGCTCCCACGGGGGTAGCCAGCAAGCGCCACCTCTTTGAGAAGGAACTGGCTGGCCAGAGTCGAGCAGAACCAGCGTCCAGCCGGAAGGTGAGATGTGAAGCCCAGCTGGGTGTCTCTAGGCTGATGAGCCTGGAGGTCTCTGGAGCTGCGATGGGGCTGGAAAAGGGTTTTCCTGTGTCAGTGACGGCAGGAGCTCAACCTGCCATTTAGGTTCCTGAGCAGAGGTCTTTTGGCTGCTGGGGTCTCAGGACTGCCTTAGGAACTCACCATGTATTGGGGGAGATGTGGGCATGGGGTGGAGTCCTGTCCCCATTCCAGGGCTTTTGCAAAGGATCTGCTGTTGCCAGTGGCCTCAAGCCCTGAGAGGAAGCCTGTCTTCCTAGGACAACCTGAAGCTGTCTGGGGTGGTGACATCAAGGCTCAATCTGTGGATTAGCAGGACCCAGGAGTCAGGAGACCAGGACTCCCAGGTACCCTGTCCCTCCCTGCTGGCTCTTATGGGGCCATTTTGGGATGGAATGATCTGGGTCAGAGGAGGGACAGCCCCAAAGCAGTGGATCATGTCAAGGGAGGAGATAGTGTGGAGGGAGGGTGGCCATGGGGGGGCCTGCAGCTCAGAAGGTAGCAGAGAGGAGGCAAGGGGGGGGGTCCTTCTCCACTCCACACTGAGAGGGTGTAGCCAGGAGATCCCATGCCCTGTGCCAGATTTGCCTTAATCTCTGGTCTCTACCCCCAATGCCCCCAATCAGGAGGCCCAGAAAGAGTTGGCAGCTTCCAGGAGGACCCAGTGGGCCAAGAAGTCAGACTCCTCCCTGGATGCTGAGGTGAATGGAGTGGAGGGCCTGGCCTGGGGGCAGAGGGCTGCAGGTGTGCAGTGCACATGATGCCCCACCCGTGTGCACAGGTTCGCTGGCCTCCAGTCCCACAGTGCATGTCTCCAGAGTGCCCCACCTGCTTCAGTCAGCAGACTTTGGGTCTCTGACCTTGAAAGGGGATGGATCTTGGCACAGGGATGTCTTTCTGTCCAGAGACTGTCTGCCCTCATCCTTACTCACCTTGCCCCCACAGGTGTGACATGCCCGCCTGTCTGCCTACCTGCCGAGACAGTCCTACCAATCTCAAGGGCCTCCTTCTAGCTGGGCCCTGCCTCCCGAAGCAGCACCACTGCCCCCCACTTCTTTCTGCTTCTGGACCTGTCTGGCCAGGGTCCTTGGGGGCCAGGAATGTCAGTGACAGGCAGCCAGCTCCTTCCCATTGCAGCCTCTGGGATGGCTGCACTTGGTACCTCATTGGCCTGCTGCAAGCTCTGTAGGTCCAGGACCCAGCAGCAGCCTGTCAGCGCCATGGGGCCTCTGTGTCCTCCTTAGAGGCCTCCCTCCTGCCCACTTCCAGCATCTGCACAGGGCCACCTCTGTGCAACTCCAGGGTCACCATTACATCTGCTCCCTGCTGATGCCTCCATGCCTGTGAAGTCTCCCACACTGAGGCCTGGACCTACACACCTTAGTCCCTCTGGGCTGCTCCTGCCTGCTGGGCCCTCAGGCCAGGCAGGGAAGGAGTCCCTGCACTCACCGTCCATGTGCCCCATCATGCTGCTCTGTTCTTGGCACTCCACCCCCTCCCTGGCCTTCTGCCCTGGCTGAGAGCTCCGAGCCTTTATGTGCTTGTCCTACCCTCTCAGAAAAACCTGTGCTCAGGAAAGATCTGATAAACTCATTCACTCTCAGGTGTAAGTGGTGGATGCTACTTTAAAAACAAATTTCTTCTGAAGGGAGGCTTTGCTTTTCAACTAGTCATCTGCAGGGTATGAGGAGGGTTATTTTGGCTGAGGTGGGAGGGAGGATCATTTTCCTAATTGACCCTGTTCTCCCAGAGTGGTGGCGGTTCTGCTACTTGGTGGTTGTAGCTTAGTGCCTTAGGAGCCTAGAATTGCCACATACACACCCCAACATTCCCCCCAAGTCAAGTGCCCCATCCCTCTAATACCATGGCCTGTGGGGGCCTGGAGAAGGTTGCATCCTCAGGGAACTCAGGACAAAGGGAGCCTGGAAAAGCAATCTTGTTCCCTACAGTCTCCTTAAGGTGGTAGTATAAAAAATAGCTTCTTTAGTCATCCAAACTCAATGCCCACTCCCCATCTGCACACCTGGGGACCCCAAGTGTCTCAGAGCATGTCCTCTAAGGTGCACCAGGCCCCAGCTCCCTGCCTTAGTCTGTGATTCTGGGTGGGGCACCTGCTTTGGGTCTGTGGTCCAGGACGCAAGTGTGCAGGCTCCCTGATGTCCCTGGCTGGGCCCTGCCTGTGCCGAGCTTGGGTGGCACTTCCTGGAGCCTGTCCTGAGCACCGCAGACTGCATCTGGACTGCAGTTTCTCCGAGTGCCCAGCCCCGCAGCTGAGCTGACAGGAGCAGGCTGAGTTCTGCCCTGAGATGCAGGACACCACTGCTGCTCTCGCCCTGCTCTGAGTCCCACATGTGACCCTGAGACACTTTCCTTCTGAGCCCTGGAGTATAAGCAGGTGACCTCCCATGATTTTCAGATGCTCAGGTTGTAAGCTTTGGAAGGTCCCTCGGCCGGTGAAACAGCCCATCTCAGGCAGCGAAGGGCTGTATGGCAGCTTTAGCCTCTCTGAACAGTGCCCTCTGTGCCCCTCACTGGGTTACCCATCTGGGGCAGGCTTTTAGGGAGAAGACTGGGGCCACAGCTCCATGGCACTGTGTCCTCTGTACCCACCCACCTATTGCAGAAGGGCCCTGCCTTCATATGATAATCAAAGAGACAAATGTACAAGGTGACTCCAGCTGGGGCTGAGGGGCAGTATGGTAGTAACCATGACAGGTGGACAAGGGAGCCTTCTTGGAGGTAGAATGTGTCTCCAACCAGCTCATCATCTTTCCTGCCCTCCTGCTATGGTGGCCCTAGGACTCCGAGTCCTGTCCGCGGTGGGGCCTCCAGTTTGGGTTCCAGCATGCTGCTTCTCTTCCGGCTACCATGGCTTTATTTTCCCTTTCACCTCCCATTAGCATGGGCAGGTGACTTTGCAAAGATGCAGGCGTCCGGATCAGCTGGGGACCAGCCCCACTCCTACCCCATGCCAAACTGGCTGCTAGAGCATGACTAGCTTTTCTCCTTGGCTGTGTGTGTTCCCAGCACTCCGGATGAAGCCCCTGACTCAGCCATCAGTGAAAGCCTCATACTCATGGTCTGTGGATACCAACAATCTACTGGGTTTTTCTTGGGGGACTTTGGTGGAGATTTGTGTACAAGATCCCTCGTCAGGCATCTATGCAAACAAGTTATGCCCTGTTGGTAGGATTGGTGGGCTTGCTAGGAACAGTGATGTACAGAGAGTGGGTAAGGTTAAAGGAGGGTTTAGGAAAAGCAACTCTTACATTTCAGGAGATGCCAGGACATGGGGCAAGACTGGGCCTTGGTGGGAGAGGGCCGCCAGGGGATGGAGGAGGCTGCCCCTGCTCTCTCCTTCTCTGGACAGCCTGGGCCCTTCCCACCATCCTTCTTGATCTGTTCCCTCCATCTGTGTATGTGGAGCCTCTCTGCTTTCCTGTGGCCTCCTCTTAGGATGCTAGCTGGCAGGCCCATGGCTCTAGCTTGCTCTGCTGCACAAGGTCCAGGATAAGCCTGGTGCTGGGGAATGGAGGCTGTTGGGCTCAGAGGCTGATGGGACTATTGAGAGGACGCAGTCTCAGCTGAGTGATGAGGTGAACATCTGCTAGTGGTGTGGGTGCAAATCGAGGTCCATGTGCTCAGGGTTCTTTGAGGGCTGGTAGCAGTGACTGAGGCCATTGTCCCTCCCATTCTCAGGACTGGTGAGCAAGCACCAGGAAGGTGCTCCTGGGGTCAGGTGAGGTGAGGAGGAATGAGAGTGAGGCTGGCTTTCTTCGTCTAGGGAAAATCAAGGGAGAGTTTGGATCACTTATGAGCAAGATTGGGAAGTGTTGGGGGCCCAGGACACATGGGGAGAGATGGGCTTGGCCCAGAGCAGGGACTTCCCTCAGGGTCGGGCAAGATGGCGACGGAGATGCAGTGGGATTGAGGGCAGAGTCAACTTGGCTGTCACCAGACTTGGTTTGCACTGCTCCTGTTCATTCCCATCATGCATTGTACTTGAGGAACATGCATATGCAAGTCAAGGGCAGAAAGCCTGGGCCCTGCATGTACGGGTCTTATAGTCTAGTAGGGTTAGCAGGTCGTAGTCACTGATCATGATTTTGAAACCCTTAGGGGATGAATGTCAATCTCCTGCCTCCCTCACACAAGCCAGCGGCCCTTCCAAGGAAAGTGGCCATCCTGACTCACTTCTGACCTCTCTAGCAGTTCTGATCCCTGCCTTGTAAGGAGGGCTTTACACATGGCCTTGGGCTCCTGGAGAAGGCCCACTTTACAGAGACTGTTGTTGAGGACCCTAGAATCTGCAAACTGCTGGAGGGTGCTTGAGCCATTAGAAGTGGCCAGCAGCCCAGAGGACCTCTTTACCCCCAGCGTCGTTCAAGATGGAGTTACAGATCAGTGCCTGCCTCTGTCCTCAGAGGCCTGGGGCAGAGACTCACGAAGTATCTTGGAAGTCATCTTGCTGTCATCCCTGCTCCCAGCCTGCCATCCCAGGCCTGGGTGCTGGCATCTGTTTTATCAGGATTCTCAAGAGGGACAGCTGGTTTGTGTTCCAAGCCTGTCCCCTGCATATCTGGTCTGGTTTTAAATAGCTTATCTGAGCAGCTGGAGGGCCACATGGGCTTATATGGCGTGGGGTACATGTTCCTTTAGCCCTGTCCCCAGCACCTGCCAAAATAGCAGCCAACACCCCTCCATTGTGGTTCCCCCCCCACCCCATCTCCTGCTGCACATTCCTCCCACCGCAGGGCTTGGCTCTTAAGGCCCCAACCCACATGCCTGCTTAAAGCCCTCTCCATCCCTGCCCTCACCCAGTCCCCGGCAAGGCGAGCGGATACCTCTGAGACCTGCCGGTAGCCCCTGTTCAGAGGTAAGACTGGGCAAGCCTCCAGGGAGGGGAAGGGCTGGAGGGGGGCATGAAAGTCTTGGTCCTGCAGCCCCTCCTAGCGCTGCCTGTGCCTACTTGGGGTAGACACTGGGTGGAGAACAGTCTACAGCCCTCAGAGAGGGGGCCACTTTAGAGGAGATGTAGGGCCTGGACTCTAGACTAATGCAGTTGAGCAGGGAGGGCCCTGTATTAGCAGTTGGGGACAGAAGACTGTATCCCAGGTCTGCCACTAAGGAGGCTGTGCAGTTGTAAAGTGTTGGGACCTCAATTTCCTCATCTATAGAGCAGCTCTGGTCATTGCTGGGCCTTTGCCCATCATAAATACAGTGATTCTGTAGCCACTGGGATCCCCCAAATTGCTTGGTCCCTTGGGTCTGGGCCCAAACCACCTAAACCTTTCCAGGCAGGTTCCCCTTCCACAGCAGAGTAAGCTCATGGACCCATGGCCATAGTGTTTTCTGGGAACTCAGACACTGTCCTAGAAGCACTGAGAAGCCCACTGTCCAGAGGCAGGTGGGCCCCTGGGCTTTCCAAGCAGATGTGTGAATTCCACTGGACTTCCTGACCCCACATCCTTGCCCTCCCCAGAGGAGAGCAAGGGCTGAGTAGCACTGGAGGGCTGATGGAGACAGCACCCCGCAGAAAGGTCCTTTGGCACACTGAGCCAAGCTTGTTGGCATCAAAAGGTTAACTCTGCCAGCTCCCACTACCACCATGGCCCTTCAGTGAGACCCTTGCCCCACCCCAGCCCAACACATCCACAGGGACCAACCTTGCTCTTTGCCTGGGAGTAACAGATGGAAAAAGATTTTCAAGTGGTTGCCTGGTGTGCAAAGCATTTCCAGCGCATTCCACAGGGAGTACAGCTGGGAAGCCACCTGACCTTCCAAATTCCTCCTCTGACCCTGTCCGTGGGGCAAGTCCTCCTCCTCCTCCTCCTCCTCCTCCTGGGCAAGAGAGGAATCTGAGAGGATCAGGTTACCTCTGCCCTCCCTCCTGCCCCCACCCACTCTCCCACCCTGCCTCTGGGACCTCCTAGTGGGCTGACAACGGCAGGTTTAGGAAGATCCCAGCCGAGTGCTGGGGACAGTGGCTGAGGGCCAGGTCTCTATTCCTCAGAAACATGGAGATGATCTCTGCATGGCTGGAACCGGAAGTTCATCTAACCTAAAGCTTGGTCAACTGAAGGCTGGAGGGTTTATGTGATTGAACTGAAGTCACATAATGAAAACTGAGTTTGAAACCCTGATTATTTGACCCCTAAGGCCAGTGTTCTTTCAATCTTTTGTTATTTTTCTTTTACTCCCCAGGAAAGGTGACCCCGACCTCCCGCTGAGAGGCAGGAAGCAGCCTGGGGAGGCTGGGGGCTGGCTCAGGTCGCTCAGAACCTTGCCCTGCCAGGTTCCTGACCTTCTCCCGGTCTGCAGCCCCAGGGCTCAGCCTACAGCCCCTTTTTCCTTCATCAGCTCCTGCTTTGACCAGTGCAGGGGCTGGGTCTGTCCTTCCTGCTGAAAGCCCTTCCCTCTCTGTGGTCTGGTCTATTTTAGGAGCTGGACTGTGCTCCCTGGAGCAGGAGGAGTCTAAGCTGCTCTATCCTACTTTGAGCCCCAACAATATGCCCAGGGCTCTGAGCTGGTGGGAGGCCAGAGGGCAAAAATGACGTGCTGCAGCTCAACCCCACACAGCCCCCCAAGAAACTCCTGCGTCCTTC